ATATATAAGAGTGGCGCTCTCTTCTTGTGCATTTCCCCAGTTCTGTTATTTTCTATTATCCTTTAAGCCAATACTGCTCAGTTTGTTTTCACGGTCAGATCCAAATCATACAGGATCCCCAGGTCACTGAGGAGCTAGGGTTAGGGTTAGGGTTAAAAGGTCTCAGGTCCATCTCAGGGCCACACAGAAACATAACAACCACTCCCACACTATCAGTAACACCTGGTGAAAGTGTAGTCTGTGGGAGGAAACCAGAGCAGCAGAAAAACATGGAAACTTTACACAAAACGGCTCCAGGAAGTTAACGAACTGCCAACCTTCTTGCTGGGAAGMAACACCTCCAACCACTGCCCCACCCTTCCAACAAAGCAGAACAAAAAGCGTCCAGAGTTTAAGAAGATAATAAAAAACAAAATCCCTTCAAAGAACAGAAGATCTGTCAGTGAAGATAACTTGAAATAAACATGGARATGTTGGGTCTTCTCTTATATTATCTTGTTTATTTGAGCGATTCTGGAAACAAAAGGCTGTCGGTTCATTGCGTAACCTTTAAGTTTGTGTCAAGGCTACAAAGAACCAGGAGGGCAGTGCCAGCTCACCCTCTGAAGACCTTTTCTCATGCAAAGGGAAACAAGATGAGTCAAATTAAAAATATAGTAACAATCAAATATATGCTGTGTTAAAGGTGCTTGCTGCAAAGTAGAAAATAAAACACACAATAAATAGTATTCTGAACTATATCAGATGTTTCAGTTTGAGTTTACTTCAATAGGTTTGCAGCTGTGTTGATGTGCAATTTGAAATGCCGGTACACATTCAGTGTAAACAAAGAACTCTGAATTAGCTGAAAACCACATGGAAGCTCAAATCTTGTGATTGATCTACATCAGGCTGCATTAGTCTGTGTGGGTTAACAGTAGTGGTAGAATTAGAATTCCTGAGGAGAAATTTAGGCAAAAAAATCCAGAAGGATTCTGCTGCTAAAAGTAAAAGAAATAAGAAATATGGATTTAAGCTTGCTAGATACTCACAGGGAGCTGCCTGTCTCTGCGCCATCAGAACAGTCACAGTTTTGACCACTTATAGCTTTTCAATTTGACTGTTCCTCACAAATACACACCGACATACTTCTTCTTAATATATGAGCAGCAGCTAAATCATCTGATGATGTGCTTACATAAAAGTGGGATTTAAATTAAGTAGAGCATCTGACCAAACTGCAACTCAAAGCATAGTCCTATAGTCCTGATGGGTCACTTCTCAGTCAGAACAGGCTAAGAGAAAAATATGTGAATTGGAACAGCTTTACTGTAAAATTGACCATATTTAAATATGATAAAAACAGTATTATAATTAGAAATACATAATGTCATTTTATAATATTTAGCTGGTTTTGTTGAGTGAGCAACATTGGGCAATAAGTATAAAGTGTATCGATATCGAATTGAGCTGCACTGTAGAGAGTCGTATCGTGAGCTCTGTATTGAAAATTGTGTTGAATTGCCAGGTGACACTCAGCCCCAAACAAGGAGTGGATAAATAATTGTTCCATGTTTGTCTCCTGCCCGGTTAATGATATTGAGTGTTCAAGATCAAACATTTGCTCAGTTTTTCCGCAAATCTTTCCTCCTTCCTTGTCAAGGCTCCTTTTCTTTTTTCTTAGAGTTTGATTTGGCTCTCATCTCTGTGAAGTCTAGTGTACTTATTTTTAGCAAGCGATCAGGATGTGTTCCTGTTCTCTGTTTATCTGAGGCAAATTTTCTCTGTTGTATTCTTGTTTGAAACAGAAAAAAAACAAGAGGTCTGAACAAGACAGTGCTTATAAATAACCACTGACACACGATGTTATTGTAATTAACAGGAAGATCGGATTCATTCCAATAGATTGTCTTTGTTTTCTTTTCATGAGACACTGTATATATAAAAGATGCAGCATTTAACTGACAATGACTCATGTTATCCAATACCTGGATGAAAAAACTAAAGCTATGGAATTCATAACCTTCATATTAAAATGTCATTTTATTTAAAATAGTATTAAATATGGATAAACTTAAAAAAAGCTACAATTAAAAAAGATCACTGTGAAAAATAAATCACTGGGCATCTTTTTCTGGAAAACATTTTGTTCCATTGTTCTATTAAAACTAATGCTCATGCTTTTTTGGAGTGTAGCTGTTTTAGGAGAATTGGAAGGATTCTTCGCCTTCAGGACAAATCAAAAGTAAAACAGAGTTAAAAAGAAACGTTTTATTAAAGGTTTTCAACCCAAGTGATGCAGCATTAGCTGTATTTGACCACTAGGGGTCGCCATAGTCCCATAATCTGATTGTACCACAGCTTGGAACGCTGTTGCATTCAGGTAACGTAGTAAAACTGTTTGTAATCGCGAAACATGAGGCACTCAAAAGCGTTAGTGCAGCCATAAAAATATAAACCTCTTCTTGGAAACTACTGAATTAGTGCCCCAAATTCTTCATTTTGTTACTTGTAAGTAACGGGAGTTGTTAAATGTTCGTGAATCGAAGGAGTAGAGACTTCTTGAATCAGTATTGCAATGGCCGAGGGGACGTGAAAGCAGCACYGGTCCTGGCTGGACAGCAGGATGGCGTGGACACAAGATAAACAATCCCCTTCTTATAGGACTCTGTGGACCTGTAAACACTAACGCTGCCAGTCAGGGTAATGCTACACGCTGTGGACACACGTACCGTGGCTGACAGAACATGTCCCAATTGATGAAAAGTTAAATATAGACAGTAGTGTCCGCTAAGAGGTGAGTTTGGTCCAAGTTGTAGCAAGAAAACTTATCAGAAGCTAGCTAGCAGAAGCTAGCATGAGCTAGTAGTTTCACAGCAGCTCATGTTTTATGACATTTAAAAGCACACCATGTTAGCTTCTGAATATATGAAAATGCTGGATAAGTTAACTCGAAGTGTTTAATTAGTGTGGGTCCAATTGGACACAGTTTATGAAGCTAATGATAGATAAAACTACGATTCAGTGTTTGCTAATAGTTTGCCAGCTCACTTGTTGCATGCTCCCAATAACACAACACTGCAAATTTCCCCACTCTTATCTTATCTTATCTTATCTTATCTTATCTTATCTTATCTTATCTTATCTCATTTATTTAAGAATATAGAGAATAAATTAAGAAATATCTTACTTGGCTGAATTACAAACTTGACTATAAACTTAAATTGTTGCTCTGAGAGGAGCAGTTCTTAAATCATTTGTGCTTTCACCTTGCTGGAAACATTTCATTACTTCTAACTGAACCATATTTCCTATTTCTCTCACACCTTCYATTGCTTCACCTCTGCAGATGTAATGAATGCATGATGCATGTCTGCTAACCACCCCGCTGTCACACACCTGCACTTTTAAACTGATGCTCTTCAGAAATGAACTCACCCCTCTTTGCATGTTGTGCTGTGGTTGCTGCATGATGAGGGGAGGCAGGGGTAACTTTCTGGCGCTGTCGTCCAAGAGATCGTGCCAGGAACAGACGGACTACGAGCAGGAGTTAAAGAGGCTGCAGGCTGATTTGGAGGCAGAGAGGATCCAAACGCTGTGGGCCCGGGGGCAGCTTGGTGCCGAACTCCGGCGCCTACGAGAAGAGGCAGAGCAGAACCATGAGAGGGCCGTGAGGGAGCTGGCAGCCAAGCGAGGGGGCCACAAGGACAGAGACGGACACAGATGTCTCCTAGCTAAAGAGGGGAAACATAAAGACAGCAGGCAAGACACTAACGTTGTGTCCAGGGGGGAAAGCACTTTGTCTGGCTGTGGAAAACCAAAGCTAGAGCAGTTGCTGCAGACGCTGTATGAGGAGATAAATGTTGAACAGGTAGCTCGTAAACAACATCACAGGCAGGAATTTGAGCTTGAAAAGGCCATCTTCCTCTACCGCCTCCTGGAGGCCCATGGGAGACTGTTAGAGGGGACTCAGGGARACAGACCCCCCTGTAATAAAATCAAAAACCTCTCAGAGAAACCAGTTTGGGACAACAGCATCAATCCCTGTCAGAGAACACCTCAGGTTACCTGCTCCAGAACCCCTCTGAGATCCCAGCKTGATTCCCTGTCAGCCGAACAGGATCAGGAGGAGCAGCCATCAGATGGGGACCGTTTGACTGCTGGAGGCACCTGTCGGGTCAGCCCTCTGAAAACCTGCCACCCTCAGAGGACCCTCCATGCAGGTGGGCACGACCAGCYGTCCAGCTGGGCCGAGTCTTCAGCTGAGTCAGCAAGAACAATGAAGGTGAGCTGATTTGCATTTTTATGAGCCTTTTTTTTTCAAAAAGACTGACCAGAAAACAAACTGCAGACATTTTCTGTAAATCTTCTAACATTATTTTTAAGATTTAGGAAACACTGAATTGTTTTGGAGTGATAGATTATCTTTTAATGTAGACAGCATAGCACTATATAACAAGTACATTTCAGTTTTTAAATGAGCTTTTTCTCTAGTTGATAGTCTGAACTGACAGATAAATAATGTGATAACTTTTATTCTTAATAAGACGTTTAAGGGCTGTATGTGATTTATTTTTATTCTMATAAATCGTTTGTTTGCTTGTCACTCAATTTTATAAAATCAGAGATTTATTTCCACATCTGTAGCAATGTTCATCCTGCTGCTCRTGCTGCTTGTATGAAGTAATATTGTGTTGCTCTTAAACTCACAGCCAGTCCGAACAGCTAAGACCATTGATGCCATCTTTAAACAGATCCAGTCAGTTTCTCATCAGGTATTTATATGGAATAATATAATGACAAGCACAGCTAGTGGCAGCAGCAGATAGCTGTAGCACAGTTACGATGAAAACATTTTGTGCTGAAATATAACTTGGACGCCTGGGTGTACCCTCTGTATTCTGAGGGGATTATTCTGTGGAAAATCTATAAAAATCCCAAAACTTAAACTGCGATTGGGTAAAAAAAATCCATCATTTTCAAATTTGACAGGTTTTCATTGTGAAATATGTCTAATTTTTAGATCTCCAATACATAGTTCCTATGTGACGTAACATTTGTGGGCGGGACTTACTCGTCGCCATCTTTCAAGGCAGGCAGTAGTCACGGCCTTGTTATTGTTGAGATCCCTGACGTTTTTTTTTGTTGTATTTTTTAAAGATTTTACTGCCTTTTTTTTTTGTTTTTCACTCAAAATGGTTGTTTCATGTTGGCTGAATGGCTGTTCCAACCGTGCAGACGGTTTGACTAAGCGCAGTTTTCAGATCTTAAGTGTCCTCTTGCATGCTTTTTCTAAATTTATTAAACAAAAACAAAATACATTCAAAACATAAAACAAAATGAGAGCAAAACGAGAAAAATAAAAAATACATACACATATATATTAAAATGAATTGAATTAAAATAAAGTGAAATGAAAGGTAGCAGAAGAAGAAAAAATCTTATAATATCTGCCCTCATTTCCAAATATAACATTAAATTCCACAAATTCAAATCCTCATGTTCGGATTATTTCTCAGTTTTTTGCTGACAAAACTTTGGATAGGACAGTAAAAAGGGTGCTTGAATACATTATTAACCTTTATCACATCCCTAGTTAAAAGTGTTCAAACTTTGTGTTCAGRTTGTGCCTCTCATCTTTGATTTGCCACAGTGATTTAGGGAACTTGCTGCTCTGCACAGTTCGACAGTAACATGTCAGTCCGGATGGGGGCTCTTGTTCTCCTGCCTCCTGAAGCCTCCCTCTGTTGCGGTGTCCTCGGTCTCTTGAACAGTCAACATCATTCCAGCGTCATCTCCATGGGAACCAGCTCGAGCCGCTTTAATGATTGGGTCCCCTCTCAAAGCTGCCTTTTTGTGATAGGATGAAGGAAGCAGTGCTCCCTGCCCCCCATCTCAGCATCGCTAAAAAAACCAAGACCGCAAAGGAAACCTGTTAGTTAGGCTGTTTTTTTTTCCCTCTGACACGTCTCCTTTTTGTGTTTTCGTTTCGATATAAATGAGCTGTTTCAGCGTTACGTAGGGTAAGAAGAGGACCTGCGTGTCTTGATTTTTCTGTTCACGTCAGAGCCCTGAGACAGAGGCGACGAGAAAACCAAATCCAGGCTTTTGTGATGCAGGGAGCGGGGCTATAAATGCTAATTTATCGTAAATGTAGGCAAGATGAAACATATTGCTACGGTGCAACAACAATCCAAGCCAAGGTTGAGAACACGGATCTGAGTGTCCTGATGTCTGCCAGCATCACTGCGTACTCAGAGTGCAGTCCAGAACAGCTCCTGCTTCCTTTTTCCATCACTGCTGTGACTCAAGCTGCACCCGGACACTTTTCTTTGCTTACATTACCAAATTTATTGAACTTGTGGTGATTACGATACCTTGTTTGGTTTTAGACACGTCACCTGGGATGTGACTAAAAAAACACCTGTCCTTAAGAGCTGTTGCAGAGGAAGACCATCTAAAACGAGGATGCAATGGCTCGGTCCAGTCTCGTTCGGACATGTGGATCCGGTCAGCTCTCTGTGACTTGAATACAGCGTGATGCATGACCTGTGCACTCAGCCCGAGCAGCCCCAACTGGCACTGGCCCACACAGAGATGGAGAACCGCGTGGAGGCGGAGGCTGTCGGGCATCAGCAGCAGGAGACCAGGGGGCCCACGATGGACCAGGATAAAATCCAGCACGAGGTTTTGGGAAAAGACGTCCCTTCCATAGATTTTACTGCGACGTCGCTGTTGGGAAAGAGGCACCACTCACTTTGTGCAAACCTCAGTGGGCTTGAAATAGAAGGGGCACMAAAGGTAAATATACAACATTTTAGCACCATTACTGTTGTGTTTTTAGACCTATAAAATACTATTTAGTATTTGACCAAAAAAGTATGGAGGTTTTCATTTTTAGAATAATAGGTGTAATAATGTGTTAAACGTTTCTTATTCAGAATTCACTACTGTCAACGCTGCAAACTGTCTTGCTCATTAACTGTTTGAAAGTCACAGAAATGTACCTGCAGGTGGAAATCTGTATTCTGCCACAGTGATGTTACCTTAATGTCAACTCCCTGTACTGTGCAAGACTCGATTCTGTGTGTAGCGTAGACAAAAGTTACTCCTCTACATGTTTTTTCATGAAACCACTGCCTTCGTTTGATGTTTTCTTAGTTGTGACAGGATTTTATTATCTTCACAATCCAAGTGCAGCCCAACTTGTTGTGTTTCCCACCACCACCGTTTTAATATCCTATCAGCAAAATCACAGTTTAACCCCTGATGAATGATTAACTGACAACCTGAGAGAAGCTCTGTAGCCACAGCTGGTTAGATGTGGCATGAAACGACCTATTAGAAGTAATTATGAAGCTATTTCACACCAAGCRTCAGCAGTTTGTGGGCTTGTCTGCAGGAGGCTGTCACTTGTAAATGATTGTTTTTGATTGGCTGTGAATTTCATATTTAAAAAGCAAAACTAAAAACACAATTTCAGCTCAGTGCTGGTGACTTTGTTAGTTGTGTTTTTGTGTGGCAGCCTGAARTGTTATTAGACAAACACCTCTGGCTCTGTTCAGACCATACTGACATCCATCCTGGTTGATTYRGTAATRATAACTCAGGAAACCTGAGCCTAACTTTAGGATTTATTAAAATCTTAAAAGWAGACAGAGTGTCAGCTTCACGGACAGAAACTGRAAGTTGGTTCCACAAGAGAGGAGCTTGATAACTGAAAGCTCTGCCTCCCATTCTACTTTTAGAAACTCCAGGAACCAAACCTGCAGTCTGAGAGCAAAGTGCTCTTTTAGGAAAATACGGAACAATATAGGGATGCACCAATATGAAAATTTCATATATATTTACCTATATTGCACAAACGCACAAATTATATTTTACATATACGCACAAACACACTTGGGTCTTTATTTGTTACCATAAATAAACTACCAGACCTCTGACATGGCTCCCTACTTATTCCTGGCTATGCAGCGTCAATATCACTATCATGATCAAACAGATGCAGCTCAACCAACCATCTCCCATCCCAAAACAGAAACACAAAGATAAAAAGTGGGAAAGCAATATTGGACGTTARTATCGGCCCAGTTTTAAATATCAGACTGATACCGATATTCTAAAAAATGACCAATATCGGCTGATATATCATGCATCCCTAGAACAATAAGATCTCTGATATAAGATGGAGCTTGGTTGTTGAGAGCTTTGTATGTTAAAAGTAAGATTTCAAATTCTATTCTGATTTTGACAGGGAGCCAGTGGAGAGAAGCTAAAACTTAAGAAATATGGTCTCCTAACTGTGTTTTTTTTACAGTGCAGCTTTCAAACATGGAAACAACATCTAGGACCTTGTTGTTTCACTCCTTTACTGAAACCTCCTAGCTGGTCCTGGATTAGCCTCTATGATTACWTTATAAAAAGGAGGCACTATGAGGTCCTTATTAAGTGTTTACTGGTTTGCATAYTGAACAAAACAGCAGTAGTGTGTGAGAGTTTAATTGATTTTTCTTGGCTATCAGTACCTGTGGCAACATCRTTTTCATTCCAGCTGCTTCCCAAAGTGGCGATAATCTTTATTACTGTCTGCAAGAATATTACATTAAAGGGACCTCAACCAGATGTGCTAATTATCCTCTGAATCAACTTAAAACTGAGKATCAAAGTGGATGCCAGTCTGGAAAGCAATAACTTCTGTGTAAGATATATTCATCCCGACACTGATCTTTACTACATGGTCTCATTTGTTAGTGGTTATGTGAGTGTGTGTTTTATTGGCCAGCCGTTATTGCTTGTAAATAATTGATCGGGGAGTGTGAGGGCGATCTCTGGAGCACCAGCTCCTCTTCGTCTCCTAGCTGAACCATCACMATGTGTCTGGCTGCCGTCTGGCTGCAGTGAGGCGTAGAGTCTCTGTGAAACAGGTCAAACTGCTGTGACTTTAACTGTGAATTTACTGGACTGCGTCGAACTTCCTCAACATTCAGACACCATACCATAGCAGGCCATGGTATTTGTAGTTTTAATACATTTTGTCTTGTCCTCAGCAAAACAATWAGTACAAAGAAAGAACAGGGTTTCCTTTTATACAAACCGTAGTTGTTTATAATGTCAAGAAAAAAGTAGATTCTYGTTAGAAACAAATTAAGTATGGTTGTTCCTACGGTCCTGAAGAATGTTAAAAATATAAACCTTAAAATTATCCACATGTACAGTGGAAAAACMAAGGTTCACTACAGTGTTTGAAATGCTTTGTTTAAGATGAAAATGTCTTTATTTAGT